GCGGCCGCGGCCGCAGCCGCCTCCTCCCCCTACGTATATCGGGACCCGTGTAACTCGAGCCTAGCCAGCTTGCGGCTCAAAGCTAAACAACACGCTTCGTTCAGTTACCCCACCGTGCCCGGGCCGCCCCCGGCCGCCAACCTCAGTCCGTGCCAGTATGCGGTGGAACGGCCCGTATGAACCGCCTGGCCTAGGGATCCCACCCCCACCTCTCTGCCCCCCACACACACACACCCGCAGGGCGAAGGCGAGGGGGATCGATCGTTCACCGCATCCCCCCGTTGGGGGGTCGTCTTGACTGGGTTGACCTTGCCCCAGTGTCTAAGAGGAGTGTTTGGGCAACTGGGGGGCCGCCTGCTAAGGAAAGGGGTCTTCTCCCTTCCAGGCCTGAGGTGGGACTGGGCCCTATACCAAAACAGGTCAGGGGGAGGCGGGGGAGGCCAAGGCAAGGACCAGGGACTCTCGGCCCCCTGGCCTATCCTGCCACCCTCAGACTCCTTTTCCTCCGTTTTCAAAGATAAATAAACCCGAGGACTGTCAAAAGCTGTGCTGACTAAGAGTTACCCTGGAGCTCTACCCAAAAGCGAGCCTCATCCACCTCCACCACCACCACCCCCACTCCCATTTTCTAAAAGAAGCAAGATTGGGCTGGAAGGAGGAGCATGATGCGGGCGACCCTGCAACCTCCCCAAGATGAGAAAGCCCAGGGACTCTTGGAGGGGAAAGTGTGTGTGTGTGTGTGTGTGTGTGTGTGTGTGTGTGTGTGTGTTTCCAAGAAGCCCTGGTAGCAAGACGGTTAAACACTCAACTAATCCAAAGGTGAGCGCTCCAAACTGCTCACTGGGGTTAACCACGTGGCATTCTGCTTCGGTAAGGAAGCCCTGTGGGGAAGTAGTTTTCTTCTGGCCTATAAGGTCTCTACGTCAGAATCCACTAGACAGCAATGAGACTTATGTTTGCTGGGGGTGTGAGTGAGTGAGTGAATGAGTGAGTGAGTGAGTGAGTGAGTGAGTGTGTCAGAGAGACAGACTGGTATGGCACGTGTCCTGGGCACCGCTTGGAGGCGCCAACGAGCAGTTTCCTATAGTTTCCATCACCAGCTGTGAAAGATCATCCAGCAATTTAAAAACTAAGGCCACAGGTGTTCTTTTCAGTAGCTAGGACTGTAGTGTGGACAGCCTGCAAACCTGTCTCCGCAAGCATCAGCCAAAGCTGGTGCTGCAACGCCACTTAGTGGTCTCGCGGAATATAACTCATAGGTCCGGATTCCACGGCTTAACTCTGCAAGTGTAAACAACACATAACACAAGAGGGGGTCGACCTGTGCTAACATGGAGTAGTAAAAATGATCCTGAATTCTGCTTGTGATCTTAAGTCACTTCCCATTTCTGCACCTATTTTTCACTGGATCATATGAAGAGTTGGGGTCTCTAATAGCAATAAAATTCTGGTTTGTTACAGACATTTATCATGTGCCTACCAGGCAAAGGATTCTCATTTATTATCTGTGTGTGCCTCTCATCCTTCTACATATTCTCTTGGGCTACCCACCTGACAGTCACCCCACTGTCAGCAGGCACCCCTAATCCCAGCAGCACTCTGCCCCCAAATCACCGAAGGACCTCTCATCTTGTGGAAATCTTTATTAAAAAAAAAAAAATAGAGCAAGTAGAAAGAGTTGTGGATAGAAATATAAATAATTCTACTTTGAGGATCCTCCACAGTCGCACACCATGCCAGGGCCTGTTTGACCTTCACATTAAAAACAGAAACATCAAAATAGTAGATCATATCCCCATCCCAAAGATGAGAATTCCTGTCTGTCATAACTTCTTGTCAACTTAGAGCACATATCCTCTGGGGAAAATCGTGTAGGTTAGGGTATACTAATGATTTCTCCTGAACCTAAGCTGACCCCTTCTGTAGCCTGGGGAGGAGAGAGCCGAGGGGCTGTCTCAGTGTAGCCAGTTCTTCACTGGCTCTTGGTCTTATGTTTATTATTGGGTAAAATGTAGGCTTGGCAGAAGAAGTGAGCGAAGAGGATGATGTAGCTGAAGTACAAAGCAGCGGACCAGAAGAAGACATCAGCTGTGGTGTCCTCACACCCATGTTCATGCCTCCACACATAACTCAGGAAGGAGATAAGGGCTCCAGCAAGCATCTGCAGGATCTGTAGGCTAGTGATGACCATAGAAAGCATTCTGGGAGGATTCACTCTGAGGGCCTTCAGTGAGTAGTAGGTGTACATGATGGCATGCACGCCGAAGTTCATGGTCATGTGCCAACCGCCAGCAGGAAACCTGTTCTTGTACCCAAAGAATGAGTACACTAGCACTGTGCTGTGGTGGTACCAGTGCACAAAGATGAGCGGCCGCTTACGCAGGATGATGAAGGCTGTGTCTCCTAGGAGATAGGAAGGCAAAGCTAGCACACACCTCCTAGCTCTAGAGCCCCAGACACCCCCACCCTGGCTGTGGGGACAGAGGAGGGACTCGGAGGGAGGGAAGGGGGATTTACGCAAAGCACCTGAAGCAGGGCTTGGCTGAGAGGTGTTGGGCCTCGGGTGGGAAAGGAGCTCTCCAAGTGATGGGTGAGGGGAGGTTTCTAAGCAGGGCTGCCGAGGAACAAGGCCTTGACACTCACCAAGTTCAATAATCTTGCTTAATATAAAAAAGATGGACCAGAATTTGACCACAGGAATTTCGGTGAAGAGGCCATAGCACACAGAGTATTTGAAACCTATCTTGTATATCAAGGTCCCCATAAAGCTCCATGTTCTCACTGTTCCCAGGATACTAAAATTGGACACACAGAGAGAGAAAAAAAGAGAGAATGAGAATAAGAGTCAACTCCAGGTGCCACTCCACTGTCTCCTATGATCTGGCCAGCACACTAAGCTCTCAGCTCCATCACCTTCCTACCCTTCGAAGTGGGACGGTGACTTCGAGGGAGTATGGTTACAGCTTCTGGGATCCCAGGATCAATCTGAAAGATGCAACCAGCCCATTTAGGGAATTTGAGGGCTAGGGAAAGGCCAGGGAATGCTGGGGATGAAAGGAAAGATTGGATTAGGGAACAGAGTTCGTGGGAGGAGGTAGGAGCCTGGAAGGTGGTGAGTGTCAGGATGGGTAAGACCAAAGACATTTAGGGGAGGAGATATGGAAAAGAGCTAAAGAAGTTACTGGAAGGACTTGAGAGGGTGCTAGGAGCTGTGACTATTAGAAAGTAAAGAAATTTGGCAGAAGGACCCTGACTCCTTGAAGCCAAAAAGGATGGTGCAGAGAAGACCAGTTTGGGGGCTGGGAAAAAAGGCAAAGAAGGTAGGATGGGAAGAAGGTGCACGCCGAGGAAGGCAGCTGGAGCTGAGAGAATGGAGTGGGAAGAATATTAGGAGGCAAGTTGGGCAGAGTGGGGGTTAAGGCTTCAATTACAGTTGAAGTGTCTGGAAGGGGGGGGGGTGGTGAGAATGGGAATTTATGGTCTGGAGGTATGCAGTGGGTGGAGGAATATCTTACCTGAAGATGGCAAGGCTCAAGGACCAGAGGAAAAGAGGCTTCTGCAGATTGAAACTCTTCCGTGCCTTCATGTAGTTCTGCCCCAGAGCGATGAACACCAGGTAAGTGAAAGCAATGGAGAAGGAGGCTGACCTAAGGCAGGAGGCAGAGAGAATGAGTTCGAGAATGGCTGCTGGCTAGCAAAATGCCCACTCCTACGGCAGTGCTTCTGCCTCATTGGGTTGTGGCAAACTGAGAGGAGCACCAAGCCAGTCCACAGACTCCGCTGAAGACCTTTAGCGCATAGTTGGAGAGCCACAGGAAAACGTGGAAGATCTCCCTGGTTGTCCTGTCTTCCCAGCAGATACACAGGAACGTGAGAAACAATGTGATCATTGTGAATGACAGGAAGTCCCTAAACACCAGGACTACACACACACACACACACACACACACACACACACACACACACACGACAGAGGAGAATCATCTATTCGATTTTTTTTTTTTAATTCGCTGCCATCAAGTCGATTCTGACTGATTGTAACCCTGGTGGACAGGGGAGAGGGACTTGACCTTCTGGGTCTGTAAGGTTTGAAACTGCTAACTTTGTGTCTAGCAGCCTGACTCACAGCCCAGTACGTTTTTGTGGGGGTTTTTTTGCATTTATTTATTTTTTCAGTATCGTTTTCTTGGGCGGGACTCTTAAAATTCTTATGACCATCCATCATTCAATTGTGCTAAGCACACTTGTACAAATGTTGCAATCAACGTTTCCAAAACATTTTCTTTCTACTTGAGCCTTTGGTATCAGCTCCTCTTTCACCCCCCTCCCTTCCCCACTCCCTCCCCCACCCTCGTAAATCCTTGATCAGTGATATATTACTGTTTTACACTGTCCGTTGTCTCCCTTCACTCACATTTCGGTTATTCGTGGGGTGGGCGATACCAATTCGTATTGAACGCACTACTGACTCCTTGCCGCCCTAAGGCAGGCTAGAATTGCCCCTGTGAGTCTCTGAGGCGGTAACTGTTTCTGGTAGTAGAAAGCTTGCTTTGTACCCGCGGAGCGGCTGGTGGTTTCGAACTATTAACTAACGATAACCCCTACACCACCAGGGTTCTTGGAGTAAGGGTTTGGGTCATCCTTATTCCTCAGCGACCACGTCTCACTAAGACTCACTGAGCCTCTGACATCTGTATCTTCCCGTGGTCCTCTCCCCATCCTCTCATCTCTGGCGTTCAGTTCTCATCTCCTGGAGGCTCCACACTACTGGAACCCCGGTAGGGTGGGGCAGGGAGGGGGGAGTCTGTGCGGGCTCGGGGGTGCGGGGCGGGGGGCGCAGCTCTTAGGAAATCCTGGTCTCTCCTGGCCCCGCAGAGAGCAAGCCCTCTGCTGGGTCGGCACGGCATGGCGGTTCCCTGCACCCAAGTCTCACCAGTGTTCATCCACATAGTGCCCTAAGTTCTTGATGTCCTCGAATCTGTAGGGCTGGTACAGCTGGTCCATTTCGTAGGTGACATTCTGAGCCTTGGCCATTGCTGCGGATGTCGAGGGCCGGAGCTTGGGGAGCAGGACCGAACCTCGGGACCGTCGGGATGGAATGGACCCAGACCGTACTGATCTTGGGACCAGCCGCACAGAGCGTCCGAAACCAGCACGTACGTAGCAAGCCAGTCGATCCCCACGGCCCTTGTCAGCGCAGTATATATGCTTCTTGGAATGGCAAAGCGAGGTTCCTGGAAGCGAGCCGCCCCCCTCCGGGTCGTTACCCAATCTCCACCGAGATACGCCCTCCCCCGCCCCGCCCCTGGGCCGCAACTCACTCTCTGATTGGACATCCTCGGATTGGTACATCCCACAGGTGCCTCGCACACCCCGCCCCGGACCCCTACCTAGCTCCTCTCTCCCCGTCTACTTGTCCATCCTTTCTTGCTCAACCCTCCTCTTCCCACGTTTTTGGCTTGGCCCCTGCCGGCTCTTGAAGTGCCCGAACTGGCCAGTCCTCTCCTTGCTCTGCTGTAACCTTTGCTTTAACCCAGACCCTCCAGGCAGTGAGGAAAAAGTGACATGTCTCCACCCAGAGAAGGGGGCCTCAGTTTTCTGGTGAGCTAGTAGGGGCCAAGGGGGAGGATGAAACAGCTGAGAGCAAGGTCCGCCCAGAGGGGATGGAAGGGAGATGGATTTTAATTAATTGTGGAGGTTGCTAATGCTGATGTTTGAGGAGGCTGTTGCTTGAGGCTCTCTGATTGCTTTACACTTTCAAGTATTTCTAAATTGTGCCAGCTGACACCCAATAATAACATTGGGGAGGATAAGATCACCCTCCAGGCTTCTGCGATTGTTGTCTTCAGGTTTTCTGGGGCCTTCTAGGGTCTAGGGAGGAAGACGCTCCGTGCATCCATCTCCCCAGTTCTGTTGATCAGCCACCGGCCCTTTGTTTGTCTCACCATATCTTCTTCTTCCCGGACCTGTGTACCCAGCCCCGGAGAAATGAATGTTATTGTTTTGGGTGTTTGCCATCCCTCCAACACTTGAAGAGAACAAGTGAGTGAGAGAGAGACAATACTTGCAGGCAGGTCCACAAGTTTGGGATAAGTTGGACATTTGCTAAAACGAGGTGCAAAGAGAAATCAAGATGTGGCTATCACTAGTTAGATGCAGCCATGTCCACAGGCTTTGAGACCAGAGGACCCAGATAGAAATAACTTCACTTCTTGAATCTCAGCAAGTATCCATACAAGGGCCTGGTGAAAATTCTGTCAGTGACAGTTACATGGTTCTCAAGCCCATAGATTCTGTTTCTGTACGTAGTCCCCTGCCATTCTTTGAAAAACACCACTTTCTGCCCTTTCACCCAGAAGAGAATTCTGTCTAAAATTTAAATTGCACCTTGCTGCTTTCTTGCTTAATACCCTTCCAAAATAAACAAATCTGCCAGTGAGTCAATTCCAACTCATAGTGACACTATAGGATAGGGCCGAACTGCCCTATGTGTTTGTGAGACTGTCACTCTTTACAAGAGTAGAAAGCCCTACCTTTTTCCTGAGGAGGAGTGGCTGGTGGTTTCGAACTGCTGACCCTGCAGTGAGCCATCCACTATACCACCGGGGCTCCTCTAAGCACCCTTCAGTGGCTCCCAAATGCTTCTTACATAGCCTGACACTCACAAGGTAATCAATGCATCCTTGATGGCTAATGAATAAATGTAATAATTACTGTTTCAATATTACCATGAGTTAAAGTCTCAGGACCTTCATTAAACAGCCATGTGGTTTAAGGCAAGGTGCCTAACCTTTCTGAGACTCACATTCTTCATCAGAAAATTGCAGTCATATTTGCTTGCCTGCTTAGCTCACAAAACATTGTGTTAAGTACACAAGTGAAATAATGTTCCTGAGTTTCATCAGCACAAATAACATGCACTTCGCTCACCACCTTTCCTAACACCAGGCACATAGTAAGTATTCTTGTAATAGTTGTTGCAGGAGTGATTGAATGGATGGAATCCTCAACCTACAAAATCTGGGTGACACTCGTCTTCTGGTCTGGGTCCTTCGCTGTTTACCAAGGGACAGAGTAAGACTATGGCTCATCTTTTCCTCTATTTTACTTAAGACTGCATGTCCATTTCATGGCTTTCCTTTCAACTGAATTTAACTGAGTTTTAGTGTAAAGAACTGAGAATTAGTATGAAGACACTCTTGGGGGGCGATGAATTATGACTGGTGCTTGCTCGAAGCTTTACACTGAACACTGCCCTTAACAGAGATTATTTCATTGGAGCGTCACAAACATAAATGTGAGGTGGACATCATCCCCATCTTCCATACGAGAAAGGCAAGACGGAGGGGTGTCTGGTGATGTCTGAACCGAGCTGACAAGTGGCTGAGATGGGATTTGAACAGATGGACCCTACCTCTAGAAGTAACGCCCTTTGGTGTGTGTTGCATGAAGGATTAAACAGGACCTCATGACTTCTAGCCTAGGGAGTTAGCTAAATGGGGCCTAAGAAGAACAACCTGTTGTTTGAGGAAGATGATAAATATTTGGAGTGTATTTCTCCGAAAACTCTAGAAGAATATGCTCGTGGAAACAGGGAGAGAAGTTAGGCCAAGAACCCACAGAAATGGCCCCTGAGAACATAAATGACTTAAACTCCAGTGTGTGTGGTGGGGGGGGGCGGGGGCCGGTAGCAGACAAAAAACAAATTCACTGCCAACTCATAGTGATCCTATAGGACAGGGTAGAACTGCTCATGTGGGTTTCCAGACTGGAACCTTTTGGAACATAAAATCCCATCTTCCTTCTGCAGAGCCGATGGTGGTTTCCCAAATTGCAGCCCGATGCATAATCCCTATACCACCGGGGCTCCTTGCAAATGACTGGTCTTTTGAAAATCCGGAGAGCCATGCCTTGAGTTATCCATTTCCTCACCCTACCCCACACTACCCACCTCTTCTTTCTCTATTCGGAGGCTTTCAGAAGAGCTGAGAATGAGAAAGAATGAAACCAAAAACATGACAGCACAAAACATTGAGGAGGATGCTGCTCATCCTACAGCAGTGGTTCTCAACATGTGGGTATCGACCCCTTTGGGGGATGAATGACCCTTTCACAGGGGTCATCCATTCATAACAGTAGCAAAATGACAGTGATGAAGCAGTAACGAAAATAATTTTATGGTTGGGGGTCACCACCACATGAGGAACTGGATTAAAGGGTCGTGGCATTAGGAAGGTTGAGAACTTGCCCCACAAAATTTGCCCTAGCCTGCTTCCAACAAGGTCAACACACTCTCTTTGTCTCCACCCACAGGATTTTGCCCATATGGCCTTAAGAGTAATTTCACTTCTACTGATGGGGTACAGTTACTCATATATTGTCCAGACTGTCCCAGGCCCCTACCCTATCTCAAATGGTAGTTTTCATTAGTCCGCTCATGCTTGAGGAAACCACACAGCATCTGGTACTTGGTGGACACTCAAAATATGTCTGTCAATTTGAACTTAATAAGCACCTAAAAGAAAATATAAACAATAAGCCCATTAAAATTAAAAGACTCAAGTTACCTAGTAATTAGGAAAATGCAAATTAAAGACTGTATGTCTAGCATGGTCCCAATTAACAGTTGTTAAACTAGGTAAAGACTAAAAATGCAACGCTAGTCAAAGCTTTGGGAATCAGGCCCATGCACACCTGGCTAGTAGCCAGGGAAAGGGCCCTGTGGGAGCACACACTTGGGTAACATTTAATAGGAGTCAACATACCAATGTGCTGGTATGTTTGACCTAGTCTTAAACCTAGGGATCTAACCCAGTGAAACTGAGCTAAAGGATAAACATCTGCATATATTACAATACTTATATCAATAGGAATCAAAGTAATAGAAAATGGGAAACAACCTACTAATGAATGATTTAACTCTTGAATGTTAAAGCACAGAAAAGCTTGTAGTTACTAGAAGAACGTGGAAGACTATGAAAGTCTATAAAGTTATATAAAAGGTAAACAATAATAGTCATAGAGAGACTCTACTATCTCAATTTTCTTTCTTTTTCTTTTCTTTTAAAGACTTTGTTTTATTATAGTGCATGGGTTACAATTGGTGGGAGAGGGTAGACATACTGGGGCAACGACTGCACCGGTTAGCTTCAGATGCCCATCCCGATCGCCATGGATGTGCCAAAAGTGCTGCCACTCTGCATCATGGTTTTCCCACTGCTGCCCACTTCCAACCCTGAGACAGGAAAAAGGTGCCGAAGAGCGCCCCGGTTGCCATGCCCACGGCACAGCCCATCACAAACCCCATCTTCACGAGGTCCAAGCAGCTTGGTTGGGACTGCCTGTAGGGCCCACGGCCACCAGTCTACTTCAATTTTCTAAAAGCCACAACATCCCGAAAGATTGAAGTTGAAAGGAGAACACTCAAATGTGGAAGCAGTTGATGAGGTGGGGAGATTACAGGAAAAGTCTTTCCTTCTTAAATATGGTCTTTCATAACGTTTTAAACTTGATGTGATAACCTTTGGAATGCCACACATCCAGAAAAAAGTGTTTTGAATGGCCTAGGAAATTCTCAGGCCATGTAAAGTGAAAATGTATAGAATGCCTAAGACTGCATATCTAGTATGGTTCCAAATTTGTAGATTAAGAATGTGGAAGAGCCCCTCCCCTGAGAAGAATGTATCTCAAAGGATGGCACTGAATCTGCAGCTTCGGGAGAAGGATATATCTGACCAGAGCACACAGGAGCAGACGACGGGGGAGGAGAGACTGGAGCACA